CCTCCTCAATTAAACATGTCTGAAACTATTGGATATTCACCCAACCCCCCCACAAAAAATATCCATTCTCTACTCTTCCCCATCTCAGCAAATGACACCTGCACCCAAGAGTTGCATAAGCAAGTCATTCTTGACACTTCCTACTATCTTCCTCACCCCAATTCAATCTACCACCAGGGTTTTCCCATTCAAGCTTTGTAACATTTGTCTCCATCCCCAATGTCACCATCTTGACTACTGCAATAACCATCCAATGTGTACACCTCTCACCCATTCTCCATAAAGTAGTCAGCATGACGTTGTGAAGATACAAACTGAAGCATGTCACTGCCCTAATTAAAATCCTCCAATAGCTTCCCACTGCATTTCAGATTCAAAACCCTCAACATGGCATGCAAAGCCCTGGACACTAGTCAACTCGCCAACATCTTTCTGGGTCTCTCTCCTGTATGATTCACTCACTACAGTCCACAGCTCTGGGCATCTTTCAGTTCCTCTTCCCCACATAGGTGAAGACATCCTACACTGCCCCCCACATATACACCCTCACAGCTCTGTTTTTATCTAACTTTTCTTATCCTCCAGGTTTCTGCTAAATTATCAAAAAGGCCTTCTTTGATCCCCTGATCTGAACTGAATCAGTTACTCTTTCATAAAACCCTGTGCTTTCTGTTTATGACACTTAACAAAATTATAAACTACATTAACTTGGTTGTATTTGTTTAATGTTTGCCTTCCACACTAGGCTATAAGCTCCATGAAGCCAGAAACATACCTGTTTTGTTCTCCTACTATAGAAGTAGCACTTAGCGCAGTGTCTGCTGCACAAAAAGCATTTAATAAATAGTTGTAGAGTAATAACAGTTTCTGATATTTTTGTTAAACCCTCTCCTTCTCTAAAACTCTGTCCTCTCGAGGGAAGTTTAACACAGAAGTTACTGGGTAGCTAGAGATGACGTCTACAAATGAGGTAGCTCACTTAAACCCATCATTTTCCTGCTGATTTATATTTCAAAATCAGATGTATTTTACAACTTTTATTTAAAACTATTAGTATTGGTTAATGCTTAGACTAAATTCACTCACCCTAATCTAAGCAAGCGGTTAACTCAGAGAGCCACTTTTACAGAACCCTGTAGTAAACTCCTGGTCTCCAATTACTGACAATGCCAGCAAACCCCCATACCCATTTGTCAGAAATGTTACCCACCTCATCATATTCACATTAGCATACCTATCTAGCATCTATAACCTCATGATTAAATTATCTCAACAATTTATCTCTGTTCTTCCAGTCTCTACACTCCCTATTAACTGAAGTCCATTTTGCACATAAGAAAAAAAGGGCATAAGAAAACAATGTCCCCTGCTCAAGAACCAACTTCTCCCCATTATCAATCAATATTAAATTCTTTGGACTAGCAATGAAGACCTTGTTATGGTGGTGTAAGTGATCAAAACGCCAGTCCTATGTTTTAATAAGAACTTGGAAGGTGTTATGGACTGAATTGTGTCCCCAAAATATGTGTTGGAATCCTAATCCCTGTATCTGTGGATGTAATTCCGTTTGGGAATGGCTTTTCTTCGTTATGAGGCTGTATCGGTGTAGGTTATGTCTTAAACCTAATCACTTTTGAGATACAAAAAGAGCAAATTAAACACAAGGACAAGCAAGCACAAATGGGGAAAAGATAGATCCCATACGGAGATCACCCGGTAAAGAAGCTAAAAGAGATGAAGACTTTTTTCCCCAGAGGAGCTAGCCTTCCCACTAGAGCCAGCGCCCTGAATTCGGACTTCTAACCTCCTAAACTGTGAGACAAGGCATTTCTGTTTGTTAAAGCCACCCCCTTGTGGTATTTGTTACAGTAGCACTAGGAAACTGTGACTGAAGGTTACACTGAATTGCATGTGCTTAGCAATCTGAACTCTCTCTAAGCTGAAATTTACATGTGGCCCTACCTCATGTCTACCACTAAAGCTGGGGTTTGCTTAGCATATACTCCTGAAACTAAACCATTTTAAGAAAAAAAAAATGGAAATGCCTCATTATGCTATCAGTCCTCTAAACTCCGAGCAGCAAACAACAAGGTGCAAGTTGTTAGTATTGAGCCATGTGATATTTTCAAGCATGTATGTGCTTGGCTAGGAGGAGATTATAATGGAACAAAGAATATAATATTTCAGAGAGGAAACTACTCCAACAGTTTAATTATAAAGTACAACATAAGTGTACTCCTGATACTATTGTACTCCTGATATTATTATTTTTTTAAAAATTACATATGTATACACACACAAACGTGTGTGTGTATGCATAGAGAGATAGGTGGGAGCCCTGGCTGCACAGTGGTTAAGAGTTCAGCTGCTAACCAAAAGGTTGGCAGTTCAAACCCACCAGCCGCTCCTTGGAAACTACAGGGCAGTTTTACTCTGTCCTGTGGGTCACTATGAGTCGGAATCGATTGGACGGCAACAGGTTTGGTTTGGTATACAGAGGTGGGGGAGAGACTGGTTTATCAAGACACTGAGGAAGCTACCTATGTGTGCAGAACCATGGCAAAAAACACCTCAGGGCACACAGCCTCTACAGGTCCCAGACCTGTTTAAACAACACTGACCCAAAGCAAAAAATGTAAAATTTACCAAGTTTGTTTCTTGGTCTGTCTTAGCTGGCATCCCTTTTCCCACTCAGTGGTATCCCTCTCCCCAATACAGATACTTTAAACTCTAATGCCTTTTCACAAGCATTTGCCCCAATCTTATAATCAGGCAGACGTACTTGTCAGTTATTGAGTGATCATGCTTGAACTTGAACCAGACTTGTGCTTAAGCATCTTATTCTTAACTATCATATTACTTATTTGAGAGGAAGAGAGGATATTAAGCATCTGAAATCAGAAGAAACCTGTCAGGATCAAAAAGTAAACTGAATATGGATAACTTCAATTGTGTGTGTGCTAGATAGAAGGGTTCAAGAGAAAAAAACTGAGTTGTTGGTTCCCCTCCAGGGAAGGCTGAAAGCCTAATGCCAGGAGCTGGGTGGGGAGTGGTGAGTTCTTCCAAAAGGTTTTCTTCAACCTCTGCTTCCTCTCTTGTCTTAATCCGGCCCTCCTGTTCTTCTATCCATAGTCTCTCAAAAACGTATTTTGTTTCCTGTCATCATCTATAGTTGGCATTTGATTACTGATTTTCTTTCTAAAAGAAATTACAAATTTATGGCAAAATCAGTGTTAATACTAACAGTGACGTTAGTGTCTGAAAAGTTATTTCTTGTGACTGAGGACTCATTTAAAATACTTCATTTTTATTTTCTTTTTCTAAAATTACTCCTTTCTTACTGAAAATGACTTGCTTACTTTCTTACCGAAAATGACTTGCTTAGGATTTGCTTAGAGTAGTGATAGGATATGTTTGGGTCAATTACACAAGCTATAAATTCAAAGTCAGTTTGATGAAATGTCAATGTTTTCTTTCTATTAAATAAAAAATACACCTGGGATTTAGTGAAATGAGTGACTGTAACAATACTCAAGCTACCCTTCAATTATTAGTAAAACAATCCAAACACAGAAGTACACAGCATTTTCCTCAGTAGCAATGTCTTCTTAAAACTACAACTCTTATCTAAACCACCACCTGAAATTCATGTATAATATACAGGAGTTAGGAAATGTTACAGCACAGTAAATCTGAATATCGAGAACAATCACCATATTTATATATTCATTCTTTTGAGAAGCTAAGGCTCCTCCTTCTCCCACCTCCCCAAGGTTCAGGTAAACTCATTATTCTGGGCAATAGCTTGCAAAACAACGGAATACATCCCTGAATAATTCAAGATTTCCTTCTCCTCAGAATATCTTATAGACAAAAATCTTCAGGTTTTTCTCTTGTACTAATTTCCTATTGTTTATGACATTTCAAAAAATACAAGCGGAATCTCAATCTAGCGTTTTCAAACCACATCAACGTGTAAACCCAAGAGAACCAAAACTACTCTCTTCAACTGCTTTTCTCTTAACCTTGGAACTTAAAAGAAACACTTAAGAATAAAAATTATTTCTTATGAAGTTTTAAAAGTATTTATTTGTATTAACACTTTGCAATAAAAAACTCACAGGTCAACGTAGCATGCAGTTAACAAGAGGAGTATTTTCCACAAGCCAATTATACAAAAAATACAAAACTAAACTGTAGAATCTTTTTTTAAAAACAGAGTAAACTTTTTTGTAAGCAGACTTGTACCGGCTGTCACAACCTGTGACAGATAATTAAAGACTATGAAACTTCAACTTGGCAAGTGAAAGCTAACCTGCTTTCAAATCACCTTTCAAGATACTACCAAAGAGACATACTAGAAGGGCATGAATAGCACCTCGTCTGACAGAAAAGATTCTTAATAAAAAAGGATAAATAGGCTTCAAATTTACCTGTTCCCCAAAGGCAAATTACTAATTGAATCTGGGGCAAAGTATCATCTCCACGCCCCCCCAACCCACACCCACACACACACACAGCTTTTCAACTGATGACTGAGCAGGAGCAAACCCAGGTCCACACCAGGGGCTGCAGTGTCCTATACCCTGAGGCGCGGGTGGAGAGTCGGAAGAAAAGGCCAGGGCATGACACCCGCCTGAGCCACAGCTGGCAGAACAGAGCCTCAATCCTGCTTGATCTGACCCGCTAGTGAGTCACTGGTCCGATCACGACACCACATCACTTGCTAGGATGTTTTCTATTTATTTCCTCGCGTCAAGAAGAACAGAAAATGATTTAAACTCATAATGAGAGAACTGTAAACTGATTGGAGCTACCAGCGGCGAGAAAAAGCCGGCTTAACAACGAAAGCCCGAGCGCATTAAGAGCCCCCACTAGCCCAGCAGAGCAGCCAGAAAGGATAGCGAAGAGTGAGCCCAGGGGGCCAGGACCAGCCGAAACCACTGCCACACCCCAGCCCTCCCTCACCTGCCTGCTCGAGCCTCCCCGGGTGTCCATACCTTCGGCCAGTGACTCCTCCAGGGTGACCTGGTAGCGCCCGACCGCGAACACCCGGACCCCAACAGACGAGCCGCCGGAGCCGGAGCTGGCCCCAGCCCCGCTGGCCCCGCCACCCGCCGCTCCACCACTGCCGCAGCCCTCGGACTTGGGCATCCGAGAGAACTTCTTCATGGTCCCGCCGGTGCGCAGGCGGGCACAGGGCGCGCGCAAGGGCGGGCAAGAAGGCGAGTCCCCGACCCGGCGCACGTCCCGATGTCCGCGAGGGGTCGCCGCTCCTCGCCCTTCCGAGTGTCCGTGCGTGGTGCGGCCCGCCGAGCCTTACATTCCGCGCGCCCGGAGCTCACAGCCCCAGCCCCGCTGCCCGGTCGGCGGCTCCGTTGCAGCTGCCTAGCTCCCGCAGAGGGCGGCAGAAGGCGAGGATGGGGCGGGGCGCGAGGGGGCGGGCCCCGGTGCGGGGGCGACGCCACTGCCTCCGCAAGTGCCCCGAGTGCCCTCGCCGCCTCCTAAGCACCGGGAGCGCGAGCCCGGGAGGAGGGAAGGAGGGAGGGACACGGAGAGGGGGCGGGGTGGGCGGCCCCTCCAAGGAGTGGGCTGGACCTCTCGGCCGCACGCCCTCAGGACTGCAGCCCGCAGCGCCACCGCCGCCCGAACCCGACCCGCGCCGCCTGCCACTCGTGGCCGTTGGCGGCGCGGCGAGGCGGCCAACAGCTCACTGAGGCCGGGCCCCCGCGCAAGCGCGCCGCCCGCGCCGCCGGAAGTGACGGTTCCGGCTCTTGTCACGTGGAAGAGAGCGGGGGAAGTGATTGTGGGGGTTGGGGACAAGGGCGAGGTGCGGGGTCGCGGGTCCCAGCCGGGAAGGTTCGGGTCAGCTCTGTGGGGCCGATTCTCGCACTGGCCACGCGGCGGGGTCTCTTATCTCGGATGGGAATCGGTATGTCACTCTGGAGCTCAAAAATGCCGCCAACAACAACCTCCTCCAAAGAACTTTTCTCGCTTCACTTCTAGCCAGTTTTCTAGACTTTCTCCCCTGAGGCTCTTCTCCCACTCGCCCACCCTGAGCGTGGGAGGTGGGAGCAGTATGGAACTAAAGTGGATTCCAGTAACCCGACTTCTAAAGCCAAGGTGTCATCGCAGTGTGTAGCAGACGCTTGTACTGGGAAGTGTTTGCGGTTTCAGATTACTTCAGGAGTACTTTAAAATCTCATGTGTGCTGTGCAACTACCATGTGAGGTATTCAGATCAGGTATTAAGTTCGTTTTATAGACCATTCGTCACCTTTGGCTAAGAAAGCTTAACGACTCGCCCAAGGTCACACAGCTGTCTTATGGTGGAGCTGAAACTACAACGTCCATCCTTGGATTCTTAATTTTCTGCTTTTTTTGACCATACTGAAAAAGTAGGTTAAGGTCAGATCATTGAGAATCTTGGAAAACGGACAGATTAGGACTGTTTGGAAGAAAAAACAGCCATTAGGGTTTTACCCCCCCATTAACAAAGAGATTTGCTCATTTAAAAAAAAAAAAGTTGCACCAATTTCATAAAACTGCATAAATTCTGCAGTCTCAGTGCAGGGGCAGGGGGTGGGGAGAAGTAAAAGGCAATAAGAATACGAGGAGCATTGGTAGATAACCAGTAAACACGGTATGCACCAACTTGCATTGAACAAGGTCCAAACGGGTTTAATTGTATTTACTTGCTAATCTGTGGTGAGCAATTTCACATGGGTTTCACCACATCTTTGACATGGTGAGGGACAGGTGAAATTTGTACTGCAGATTGGTGGGAAGGCACAGTTGGACCCCTGAGTACGATGCTTGTTGAGTAATCCAACCCTGACGAGGAGTAGTGGCGACTAATAAATTGTAGAGCATGTGTAGAGACCAGACATTCCTCAACTCCAACCTGCTTTTCCGTGTATGATTACAGGCACACTGTGGCCAGAGGTTTCAATTTCTTAAACCAGAAATATGGATTTTTTTCTTTTTTTTAGTGCCGCATTTCCCAAATTTTTAAACATGTAGGCCAAATTAATCATGCCTGCAAAACTCCAGTACATAGACCTTCTGTGAAAGTAGATGAATGTGGTTCTATTCTTCCCTCAATTCTTTCTCTAACTTTTTAATGAGATACAGGCAGAAACATTAGAAAATGTGCTTAAGCAAAATAGAGTTTGAGCTTAAAGTCCTCCGCTCTTCTCCTCTGCTTTTGAAGAGAAGCTGTTTCTGCCAATGCTAAAACAGAACTGGATTTAGGCATTTCTGCTGCATAATCCACCAACCTAAATTTCTTCTTCCAGTTTCCTGACCTTCAAAGCATATTCCAGCTCTATGGAAGTCTGATTATATGTCAAATGATTGATGTGGTGTGACAGTTGGGGATTTCCATTTAGAAATAAGCTGACCATTTTCCTTACTGTGGGGATTCACTGTGATGTCTCATTCCTTCAACATTTGAATTATATTTTTCAAGCAGAAAAGTGGAGAGAATCATTTCATGCAATTCAAAACTGAAAAATCAATCTAACATACAAAGTTTGGGCCTAATTCAACTTTAAGCACACCACAGGAGTAGTCTATGATCAGTTTGGGAGTAAATTTATCACAATTGCAGTGGCAAAAAAAAAAAGATTCTATGAACCTGAAGCAATGTAACCTGACTTCTGATATTGAAGTGGCATAGACCCCCTCTCAAAACCTGTGGGTAACACCAAGCAGTGTCTTCTTTAATTTTTCACCAAGCCATGTAAAAAAATTTGAATATCCTCTGATCATCACAAAATGTTAACTCCACAATATTCTACAACAGCCAGTAACAAACATATTACTAATAAGAATGCCCAGATCTTGTATTACTAAGAATGCCAAGCATTTACAAACACCTTTAGTACCAAAAGACATTAATATTGTCACATTATAGCTTCCTGGGTGGTGCAAACAGTTTGTGCCGGGGTACTAACCTAAAGGTTGGCAGTTGGAACCCACCCAGCAGCACCAAGAGGAAAGGTCTGGTGATCTTTTTCTGTAAAGATTATAGCTAAGAAAACCCTGTGGAGCAGTTATACAACAGCAATGGGTTTGTTTGTTTTTTCCACATCCTCTTAACAACCTTGTGAGTTAAAAATGAGTATCCTTAATGCAATTTGTAAACAGAAATTGAGATACTAAGGGCAGACTTTCAATCAGTAGAAAAACTATATTGAGAATTCTAGTCTTTAAGTAAGGAGCCCTAGTGGTGCAATGGGTAAGTGTTCGCCTTCCTGCTAACTTGAAAGGTTGGTGGTTCGAACCCACCAGTGGCTCCACTGGGAGGAAAGACCTGTTGAGCTGCTCCTGTGAAGATTACCACCTAGGAAATCCTTTGGGGCAGTTCTACTCTGAGTGTAAGTCGGAACCGGTAAAGCACAGTCTTTTAGTATTGCACTCACTATTTGACCATGGTTATGGAAAACACCCAATTTGGCATCTTTTTGAGGTGACTTATGGTGGCGCAGTTGTTAAGAGCTATGGCAAGCTACGTCTGCAACCAAAAGGTCGGCAGTTCAAATCCACCAGCTGCTCCTTCAAAACTCTATGGGGCAGTTCTACTCTGTCTTATAGGGTGCATATGAGTTGGAATCGACTTGATGGCTGTGGGTTTATTGTCATTTACAGTAAAAACACAGATACAGGATAGTTTAATAAAAAAATTAAAATTACATTTCAATTTTTTATTAATATCTGAATCTTCCAAATGTTTATGTACTGCTCTAAAAATAGTTGGGAACTAGCCACATAATACTCTTTTAAAAAAAAAGCAGATTGCTTCACTTTGTAAGGTTTCATTGTACACTCTTCCGGCAAAGCCAACAGATCAGTGGAAATAACTAAAGGATTCTGAGATCCCTGAAGCAGGAAGGATTTTGACAATGGGGGAAAAATTAGTGTTATATCTTTTGTCTTCTAGTGGAAAACTATAACACTTCTTGTTACTTTGACCTGTCTATTTTGCACTACAGATCAAATAAAATATGCTTGTCCCAAAAGGCTTATTCCAGTGCCATAATTACCTTCGTAAGTCATCTTTTTGAATCTTGATTATTTTTCCTCACTAGTCAGTGTTTTCCTTTGATGTCATAGCTTCTGTCATGATTAACCTCACTATGTTTTACTATTAGGAATAATTCTCCCTGCCTAACATTACTTTATAACTAGTTAAATGTCTATATGTTTGCTTTCCAAAAAAGTAAAGTTCTAAAGTCCTTTAAAAGGATGTATATACCTGTCTCCATTATGAGAACAAATGGTTTTTGAATATCACTGATACTTAAATCCTGTTAAAACTACTCAACATCATCACTATGTCTTGTAAAAATTTATATACTTCTATGAATATTCAATCTGATAGTATTAAGAATATTTGTGAGCAGCTTAGTATTTTTAACAGAAAAAATTTCTCATTTGACTTGAAATACTTTTTCTATGATAGACTTTTTCCTACACCTTGACCGTGCTTTTAAAAGACTTCAGGAGGTAGGCACCTTGCCACCAAGAGAGGTGCTTTGGTGAATGGGGGAGCCTCTACCACCAGGAACAGCACCGTGGCTTCACACCTCATGGCAAGGATAACTTCCTGCTTAAAGAAGTATTTGTCCTAGAGTGGGATCACGGTCTCATTCCTGGATATCCTGCCCTGCTTTCAACCCTCTTCTACGTACCAGGCCTTTGCATTTCTCTCCGATGGCCGAGCTACTACCCAGTCACATTTATATAAAACTTTAACAGAATGTAAAACAAGAACTAATTCTTTAATTGGGAACTTGCAATGTTCCTATGCAATTCTATGTGATTTACATGTATTTCTTAACTCATTGACTTTACAACTACTCTATGATACAGGTGCTAGTATTATTCATACTTTACAGATGAAATAGAGATGCACAGAAAGATTAGGTTACGTGCTCAAGGTCTTATGACTTGTAACAGGGTTCAAAACCAGGTAGTATGGCTTTATATAGCCCCTGCTGTTAACCACATACAGACTTTCCTTGAAAACATGCAATAAATGATACGATAACTACTGTCTGAGGTGGTAAGTTACCCTCCTGTGTCCTCTGGCCACAGCACTTACCTAATTTGTTTGCTGTCTTAGTTATCTAGTGCTACTATTGCTGTCTTAATTATCTAGTGCTACTATAACAGAAATACCACAAATGGATGGCTTTAACAAAGAGAAATGTATTCTCTTACAGTCTACTAGAAGTCTGAATTCAGGGCA